CTTCTTCTTCTTCTTCTTCTTCTTCTTCTTCTTCTTCTTCTTCTTCTTCTTCTCTATCATAATAATTTATCTCTGTCCTGATGCTCTTTAAGAGTCTGTGATACTAGTCTTCTCTCGTCACCGGACTCTGCAAGTTATAATTTTTAAAATTGTCTTTCGTTCTCCTTTCTGCGCCCGTCCGTTAAGCTTGCTTTTTTTCAATACACTGAACGACCAGTGTCATGTTGACGTGCTTCTCAACTCGCAATGAACAAAATCCTCTAACTTAAACCATGGTGTCTGCCATGCCAGATTGCGGGTGGTTGGAGGGTGCCACTCTGGTAGGTCCCACGTCTGAATTCTCCCTTTGTTGTCCTTCTTTATCTCTTTTGTGTATTGTAAGGTCGTGGATGGTTGGCGGGTGCCCTCGTGTGGTTTGCTACTTCTTTCTTATCAAACATTTATCTTCTTATCTCTCCTTTTTGTGTTAGTTACCCTCTTGTAACACCTCATATCTTCAGCACGTATAATACAAGCTAATTGTGGTGCAAATGCCGTAAAACTCTTACTTATTAAAACAAACAAATTAAATAACCGTCATTGCGTCAATGTGCTCCTGTTTACTCAAACTAACAAACAAGTGTGGGTGGTTGGCGGGTGTTCTGGTGTGGTTTGCTTCTTCTTTCCCATGAAACATCTATGGTCCTTATCTCCCCTTCTTCTTTTTTTTATGTTTGTTACTCTCTTATAACACCTCTAATCTTCTCTCGCTCTTATGACCTTATGCAGGTTGCGAGCGCCGTTAAACCTCCACTAAAGCTAAAGCTAACAAACAAGTAGAATGGCCGATATCATGTCGATGATGTGCTTCTTCGTTCTCAATACAAAATAAACAAGCAAATAACATTGATCAGCCAAAAACTGTTTTGACTACCCGTCAGTCATTCCCAATTTGCAGGCTGTATGAACCGAACCCCGCGATATGAATCCATTCCATTATCTCGGGATCTATACTCTATATAACACCGTCGCTTTTGAAAAACGTCTGTTCAAAATGGTTACTTGTTACTTGTGTGAAGGACGACATCACTGCACAAGGAGCATCCCCATAAGCCCTCCGTCCCCTGAAGAAGCACATCTCGAAGTGTGCAGATGCTGACGTTTCAAAATGGCTTTGATTGAATTTGAACCTTCGGGGGGTTTCTTCTTTAAAAAAAAATTTTTAAGGGATTTTTCTTTGTGATAAGTTCTCTAAAGCTCATCCATGCGTGACTCGCGTACCGTTCATAATGCACCTCTGTATTTCTAATGTTTTTGAATGTGTGCATTGATGCAGCGAAATTTTAATGAAGGGTTGTCGTTGTTTGTATTGTATGGGTGCTTCACCGCGTGTAATAGTCCCCTTTGCCTAAAAATAGTACATGTATAATAAATTTCATTATTGATTTGCCCTTTGACAAAGTAGCCTATGAAGGACTATAACTACATGTCGATCTACATCGATAGCAACAGCATCAAGTATTATAACAACACAGCAATTATGATGATGGCTATAACAAAAGAAGAAAATGAATAATAATAATAATAATAATAAAAATAGTAACAACAACAATAATAATAGTAA